GAAAGTGATACGAGGGTAGTGACACGGAGGATAGTGATACGGGAGTTTTGACACGGGGGGGGATAGTGACACAGGGGGTAGTGACACAGGGTTATTGACACGGGGGGTAATGACACTGTGGATAGTGACAAGTATAATTAAATGAGGTGGATGTGGGGTAAATTCATTTGGGAGATAATTCATAGCTTCAGATTTATGGCTGCATGACGTCATTGTCCTAACCCAACCATAGCTACACAGCTTTATGGTCGCGCGCTGATTTCAAACGACCAACGAACACCTCACAGCTTGCTCGTACTTCAAACGTGACTCCGTGAACTCTGATATAGCTTTCATCGTCTTCGTTCATTGATTCATGCATTGAGCTCTCGGACGTTCTCGCTAGTGTTGATCTAGGGCACAGATCGGCAAACGTTCTGAGTAACGAGCCCCGTCATTAATTATTTCTGATCGTACATAATTCCAGAGTGTATTGTGTTTCTGACACTTATGATTGTAGCAAGTACAAACTGCTAGACGAACATTTTTCTGTTTTGTTAGTTCTAGCAGAGACGCCGAGAAATGGCTGGTATTCAAGAATCGGGTCATGACCGTGTGATCGGATTGTAGAGCTCACGATTTCTAACCTGAAAGTCTCGAGCTCAAGCAAACCCCTGAGTCTATCCAGCTCTAATGGGTACCTGACTTAAGTTAGGGAAGTCTTTCCCCAGAATACCGAAGTCACGGAAACATAATTCTTGGGAGCGAACAAAAAGGAAAATATTCGCATGCCTCGGAATAATAATAAGGTATTCAGTACAGAGGCGTAGCGATGGGGGGGGGGGGGGGGGGGCAGGGGGGTACATATGTCTCCGGGCGCCGACCTTAGGGGGCGCCAAAATGGGTTGTAAAAACAAATTAAGAAATGTCATTTTTAGCTGAATTTTAGCAGTTTGGGGGGGGGGGGTGTAATCGAAAGTTTGAGTTGGGTGCAAATCGAAAATTTGATCCCGAGGGGGCGCCAAATTGAAAGTTTGTCCCTGGGCGCCGGGAAGGGTCGCTACGCCTCTGATTCAGATTCAGTACTCTATCGCCTTTACAACGAAGGACAATAGCAGCGAACAAACTGACGACCTGATTAAGATGAAATCCCTCAAGAAAAATGACATACACCGAAGCTTAGAACTAGCATAACAAGACTGGCTCTCACTAGAATCTACAAGGTAAAATACAAAGTGAAAGCTAGGATAAAACCTGGAGTTGAGAGTTTGAGCGACATGTTAAAGGCAGATTACAAATTGGGACAGTTGCAGGAGCTAGCTCGTGGGTAGACAGAAAACTCTTGTGGGTGGTCTGTGTGTCGGTCGGACGGTAGGGTTGCTGTTACTTTCTTAGTTGGAGGTTTTTAATGAGTGGGGTCAAATCTCTTCGTTTTATGAGGAGTCAATCTATTCGTTTTATGAGGAGTCACATTTATACGTTTAATGGGGAGTCACATCTATACGTTTAATGGGGAGTCACATCTATACGTTTAATGGGGAGTCACATCTATACGTTTAATGGGAGTCACATCTATACGTTTAATGGGGAGTCACATCTATACGTTTAATGGGGGGTCACATCTATACGTTTAATGGGGGTCACATATATACGTTTAGTGGGGAGTCACATTTATACGTTTAGTGGGGAGTCACATCTATACATTTAATTGGGAGTCACATCTATACGTTTAATGGGGAGTCACATATATACGTTTAATGGGGAGTCACATCTATTCGTTAGTGGCGAGTCACATCTATACGTTTAATGGGGAGTCACATCTATACGTTTAGTGGGGAGTCACATCTATACGTTTAGTGGGGAGTCACATCTATTCGTTTAGTGGCGAGTCACATCTATACGGTTAGTGGGGAGTCACATCTATTCGTTTAGTGGCGAGTCACATCTATACGTTTAGTGGGGAGTCACATATCTACGTTTAATGGAGAGTCACATCTATACGTTTAATGGGGAGTCACATCTATACGTTTAGTGGGGAGTCACATCTATACGTTTAGTGGGGAGTCACATCTATTCGTTTAGTGGCCGAGTCACATCTATACGTTTAATGGGAGTCACATCTATACGTTTAGTGGGGAGTCACATCTATACGTTTAGTGGGGAGTCACATCTATTCGTTTAGTGGCGAGTCACATCTATACGTTTAGTGGGGAGTCACATCTATACGTTTAAGGGGAGTCACATCTATACGTTTAAGGGGGAGTCACATCTATACGTTTTTGAATCCTGTGGTGCCGAATATTGCCGTCAACTAAGATATTGCCGTCCACTAATATATTACCGACCACTAATCTATTGCTTTCCGCTAATCTATTGCCGTCCTCTAATCTATTGCCGTCCTCTAATATATTGCCGTCCACTAATCTATTGCCGTCCACTAATATATTTCCTACCACTAATCTATTGCCGTCCTCTTATCAATTGCCGTCCTCTAATCTATTGCCGTCCTCTAATATATTGCCGTCCACTAATCTATTGCCGTCCTCTAATATATTGCCGTCCTCTAATCTATTGCCGTCCTCTAATATATTGCCGTCCACTAATCTATTGCCGTCCACTAATATATTTCCTACCACTAATCTATTGCCGTCCTCTTATCAATTGCCGTCCTCTAATCTATTGCCGTCCTCTAATATATTGCCGTCCACTAATCTATTGCCGTCCTCTAATATATTGCCGTCCTCTAATATATTGCCGTCCTCTAATCTATTGCCGTCCTCTAATATATTGCCGTCCTCTAATATATTGCCGTCCACTACTATATTTCCTACCACTAATTTATTGCCGTCCACTAATATATTGCCGTCCACTAATCTATTTCCGTCCTCTAAAATATTGCCGTCCTCTAATATATTGCCGTCCTCTAATCTATTGCCGTCCTCTAATCTATTGCCGTCCTCTAATATATTGCCGTCCTCTAATATATCGCCGTCCTCTAATATATTGCCGTCCTCTAATCTATTGCCGTCCACTAATATATTGCCGTCCTCTAATCTATTTCCGTCCTCTAATCTATTGCCGTCCTCTAATATATCGCCGTCCTCTAATATATTGCCGTCCTCTAATCTATTGCCGTCCTCTAATATATCGCCGTCCTCTAATCTATTTCCGTCCTCTAATCTATTGCCGTCCTCTAATCTATTGCCGTCCTCTAATCTATTGCCGTCCACTAATCTATTGCCGTCCACTAATCTATTGCCGTCCACTAATCTATTGCAGTCCTCTAATATATTGCCGTCCTCTAATCTATTGCCGTCCTCTAATCCATTGCCGTCCTCTAATCTATTGCCGTCCTCTAATATATTACCGTCCTCTAATCTATTGCCGTCCTCTAATATATTACCGACCACTAAAGTAATTCTCTTCTAGTCTCTGATCACCTGTAGATGTAGGTGTGTTTACTCTGTGCAGTTCATGCGGCAAAAATAACGCTCGAAAAGTTTGTCTATTTTAGATAATAAAAGAATCCTCTAACGAGACGCATTGGGAATTTTGCAATCCCAAGCTAGCAGGGAAAGGTGCAAACTGTAGATGTAAATAGCACGAGACAATGCAACAGCTCTAGATGTAAATAGCACGAGAAAATACTATAACTGTAGATGTAAATAGCTAAAAAAAAACAAAAAACAAACAAACAACAAACTAGCAAGTATATATTTGGTTAACAATAAAGATAAACAGAAGTTTTAATTTATCAGATTGTCAGTGGTAAAATTGGGTTCAAGTTGCGTAAAGTAGTTTGTGGACAAACTCATAATATATGTGTTATGTATGTGTGTATATGTACTTGAAAAACAAACTTGTGTATGTGACAAAATTCAGATTTCATAACATAATTGAATACCTTAATACAACTATTGGGAGTGTCTTGATGTCATTATCGCATGTGTCGTGATTAAATTATAGCGAGTGTCGTGTTGAAATTGTTGCGAGTGTCATGATTACATTATCGCGACTGTCATGATACAATAATTGCCAGTGTCGTGGTGAAATTAACGCGAGTGTCGTGATTAAATTATCCCGAGTGTCGTGATTAAATTATCCCGAGTGTCGTGATTAAATTATCCCGAGTGTCGTGATACAATTATCTCGAGTGTCATGATTGAATTATCGCAAGAGTCATGATACAATAATTGCTAGTGTCATGATACAATAATTGCGAGTGTCGTGATTACATTATCGCAACTGTCATGATGAAATTATCGCGAGTGTCATGTTGATGAGATTATTGAATGTGTCGTGATATATTCTAATCTTTCTAGATGAAAATGAAATCGGAAGTGATGCCATGAGCTGTCCATCTTCTCTCCTCCCCCCCCCCCCCGACTCTCGATAACCCTAACATTAGCACGCACACCAATTAAGAAAAACGCACTCTAGTCCGCCCCATTATCGCCAGCAAGATTCAGACGTTGAAAATATACCATACATCGGCGGTTCATCAAGACAATGAACGCGGTTATAACTCTGAATAGAACACATTTCAACGGCTAACATTTGCATTTATTAGGCAATTAAGCTTTCCTTTGTTAATGACGATTACCCAGACAGCGATTGTGAGTTTTAAAAAGATAAGCAGTGGGCGGTCACCAGAAAAAAAAACAAGGTAAAAAAAATTATAAACGAAACTTAATATCAACAGAAGAATGCATTTTTAAGATAATAAAAAAAATAATATAAGTGCGTTTCTATTAATAAAATATAGGCAAATCTTAACAGATCTGAGAGTAACGTAACTTTAATCTAGGCAACATTAATAAAAGGAATCAAACAAATTTTGTCATCTGTTGTATGTTAATACTAAACTTTTTATGTTTATTTTTTTTTACCTTAAACTCTTGTCCAGATATAGCCTAATTTGATACCAATTTGTTGAGTTTTAAGTGAGTAAATTCCGTGTTAAATTCAGAACCTAATCTAATTAACAGGACACTAATGTTCAGGTGCAAAAGTTTCCTTACCTGACCCGACTTATATCACTGTACACCGTGTGGACGACAGGGCTGACAGACGACGCGGTATACTTCTGTTTCCGGTTGGCTCGTGGACAGCTTCACGGCGGAGGGGACGTCTTTTTATGCCGTCACCCGAGCGACGCGCGCAGCTTCCCTCACGTCAGGCGTGAGTCGTACATCAGCGGTCTACAAACTTTGCTGGTAGACCCCAATATGTGAGGTAGTGAGTGACCTAGTCTTTACATTTTCAATTAATTTCAGTTACATACAAAATGATTTACGAGCAAGTTTATCGAAATTATTAAATTAGTATTTCGAGGTACCACTATATATATATATATATATATATATATATATATATATATATATATATATATATATATATATATATATATATATATAGGGGCCTATATATGTATATTTTAATTTATATATATATATATATATATATATATATATATATATATATATATATATATATATGTATATATATACATATACATACGTATATATACATATAGGCCCCTATATTTTTAAAATTAATATATACTACTAGACTTACCCGTCATACCTTGGATGACTGTGGGTTTCGGGGGTCATCCATAAATGACATCACGTCAGTGACTTTTTCACAAAATAACCAGACCCCCACATTCAAAAAGACGTTTTTTATCTTTTAAAAACACCGATTTCGGCTGAGCATGGGTCTGACCACACTATCCCTTTATATACTAACGTCACAGGTGACCTTTAAAAAGTTCTATTTAATTTTAATGACACCGGCTTCAAAATTAGCCTTCATTCTCCATAGCAAATTTTAAAATGCTTTTCCGGCATATCAAGCCCTGACCACCTATAGCATGTTTATATAACGCGAAAACCCGATTTATATAAATAATTAAGGCCTGAAATAGATTCTAGAATTTACATTAAGTCTTGTGACCTAGATTTAGAACATTTAGATCTAAATCTAAATTTAGATCTAAATCTAGAATTCTAGATTCATAAAGTTATAGCCGGCAGAAAAATAGCTTTATAACGCGTTAAACTTTTGAAAGGGCCACAAAGTCTATGAAGGTAGCCGCCATTTTATTGTACTAAAAAGTAAATAAATCAAGTGACGTCACTATTCAGTCAAGGTAAATCCATTGTTTGAAAACTTTAAAATTAATGTGGTTAATCTAACTATGAATAAATCAATAAATTAATTAACGTCTTTAAATAAATTTGTGATAAACAGTCTGTCTGAAAACAAAAATTGTTCTCTACCTACATAGGCCTACTATTTTACAGCTCTCCACATAGCGCAGATCCTCTACAGTAGTCAATCAGACAAACAACCAAAAAAATAAATATTCAAACATGTACACAAACTTGAATTTTAGTAGTATATATATATATATATATATATATATATATATATATATATATATATATATACACATATATATACATACACATATGTACATATATGCATATATATATATATATATATATATATATATATATATATATATATATATATATATATATATATATATATATAAAGGCTCTCTCTCTCTCTCTCTCTCTCTCACTCTCTACATATATATATATATATATATATATATATATATATATATATATATATATATATATATATATATATATATATATGTATGTGTGTGTGTGTGTGTGTGTGTGTGTAGAATGACATGTTGTGGATATATTTGTTAATGTTCACAAAATGTACAAGTCACTGAGAAAGTTTAAGGTAGTATCTATTCTTTAGCTATCGTCTTTTTATTTTCTCAAATGACGAATATAGCCTGAAATACTGTAACCGTTAAAAAAATTGAAATCAAGATGTATGAATAATCTCGAAGTTTTATACCATCAAGAGTAGGGAAGCGCAGTTTGGCGGGTTTGTCTGTATATACTTGTATGCTTGCGTGTAAGCGTGACAACTCGAGTACCGCTTGAGCAGTGTTTCTTCCTGACTTTTTTTCACCGGGGGGGGGGGGGTTGCTTGACATTTTCTGGGGGGGGGGGCGGTAGACTTTCTTCGGGGCGCCGGACACTGTTAAAAGTATATATTTTCTCTATAAATTGTATACATTTCATTTCGTTCGGGGGGGGGGGGGGGGCGGTAAAATTTTTAAAAGAGATGCCTGGAAGAAACTCTGCGCTTGAGTGAGGTGAACGATATATCATTTGTAAGTGTTCGATCTCATCTGTAAGTTTCAGTCAACTTTTATTTTCGAATATTTTTCACCAAGCTGTTCACACTTCGAAAGATGCCCCTCCCAGTTTGGGAACCGCTGTGTTAGTTCGTGTGTTGTCCCAATACTTTGCACCCCCATCTCTTCTTTTGAACTTCTTTAAGCCTACATCATCAGTGGTATCCATACTTTATACCCCCATCCCTTCTTTTAAACTCCTGTTATCTATTTCAGTCATCCTATACTTTATACCCCCACCCTTTCTGAAAAACTCTTTTATATCTATACCAGGGGTCCCCATACTTTGTAACCCAACCCCCTGTTTTTAAACTCCTTTTATCTATAACAGGGGCCCCCATACTTTGTACCCTAACCCTTATTTAAACTCCTTTTATCTATAACATCCCTATACATTGTATCCCCACCCTTTCTGAAGAACTCTTTTTTTTATCTATACCAGGGGTCCCAATACTTTGTACCCTCACCCCCTGTTTTTTAAAACTCCTTTTATCTATAACAGGGACCCCCATACTTTGTACCCCAACCCCTTATTTTAAACTCCTTTTATCTATAACAAGGGCCCCCATACTTTGTACCCCCACCCTTTCTGAAAAACTCCTTTTATCTATACCAGGGGTCCTCACACTTCCCAATCCCCAACCCTTCCTTTGAAATCCCCGTGATTGTAGCACACGTTTTTGAACACATTTTGTACACATCAGTGGTCCTTGTACACCCACCCCGCCCTTCTTTTAAACTCCTGCTATCTATATCTGTTGTCGCCATACTTTGTAGCTCCACCCCTTCTTTTAAAAAACTATTTTATAGCCAATCGTCCCCCATTTTTTGTAACCACACCCTTTTTGAAAAACAAAAACTTCTGTAGTCTACATCAGTGGTTCCCATAATTTTAGTGCTCTATATCTCCTTAAAATAAAGTGCGTGTATACATTTTGCGGGGGAGCCTAAATAAATATTGATGGGAGAGGGGGGGGATATATCCTACCAGTCATCCGTCAAGTGGCCAACCGCTATTTCAAGTGAGCGTGTCGGGAGATGACATCACCGAAACAAAATTCTGTCTGACATAGATAAAACAGCCGTCGTTCTTCATATGGCGTGTGGCGTGACGCACGGGGGGGGGGGGGGGCGTTTTAAACCCCGGGCAGGCAGACACGCCAACCTCAACTACATTGCTTTATTCTTTTCCCTGAGTTTTTCAAGCTCTACATTAAACTACTATATCACCAGAATATCAGACTATTAAAGTACTATATCACACACACACACACACACACACACACACACACACACACACACACACACACACACACACATATATATATATATATATATATATATATATATATATATATATATATGGGTCTTTATATATATATATATATATATGTATATATATATATATATATATATATATATATATATATATATATATATATATATATATATATATATATATATATATCATGCTGGAAAAAATTTGACCCCCCCCCCCCATGAGATGATCCTGGCTACGCCACTGTGTACATGTATGTGTGTATATATGTATGGGTGTGTATGATAGTTTACATGTATAAGCACGTGAATATGCACGTGTAGGTGTATGCGTGTATGTTTATCTAATATATAAAGCTCAATTCTGTAACGCATATGTTTGTCGTTGGCATTTCTACGGATTTAAGTGTTAGATCAATTATCGTGCGCAGTTGTCTAAATTTATGAGTTAAAAAATTACTATTAAAAGTGTTGGGAAATCATTTTCATTTTTCAAATTATAGTAATAATTGTCGGCATGTTCATTAAACACAAGTTTTAAAAAAATATTATCTTTTACAAAAATTCTAATTATGTTTTTATTTAGTCCTATAGCGCTTACTTCCCTTTGATAAATTAGGCAAAACACAATTACTTCCCTTTATGAAACCATTGCATTAGTTGAAAAGCATTTACTTTTTAATTACTTTGTTTTGGTGTTGGGAAAAAAATAATTACATAATTAGCGGGGATTGATCAAGTGCAAATGTTTTAGGTATTTTACGGATTAGCTTGGAGTATTATAATTGTTCAATAAATTGAAACAGGCGCGTTCGTTTAAGTGAGTGCAAAAACTATGAATAAGTTGGGGTACTATAGTCGTTTATTAAGCTAAAACAGGCGATTCTGCCCCGGGCGTTTATGTTCGCGTTAGTGTTTTCTTTGTGTTTAGGTGGGTTTGCGTTAGTGGTTGCGTTTTGATTTGGTTCGTTTTTGTTCTTTCTTTTTTCGTTTTTGTTTGTGTTTTTTTTTTGTTTGGGTTTGTATTTGTGTTTTTGGTTGGTTTTGCGTTTGGATTTGGTTTGTTTTCGTTTGCTTTTTCGTTGTTTTTTTTTTGGTATTGGTGTTTGTGGTTGGGTTTGTTGTTAGGTTTTTGTTTTCGTTTGTTTTTTCTTTGTGTTTGTATTGGTGTTTGTGGTTGGGTTTGTTGTTAGGTTTTTGTTTTCGTTTGTATTTCTAATTGTGTTAGCGTTATGTTTGCGTTTTGTTGTTTTGGTTGGTTGTGGTTTGGGTGGGCAATGCCGGGTTTATGATGATTACTAAACACACAGGTAATGGTCTTTAACAGAAAGGTTTTTCACAGAAGCCAGAGCAGGGCCTGGCCGGGACGGCTAGTGTAATATATATATATAAGGGTGTATTGGTTTAACTGCGTGTATATGTACGTGTATATGCATGTGTGCGTGAATAAGTACGTGTATTTTGTGTAAGTGTTTCTAGAACGTGTTGCGCACCTGTATGCGTATTAGTATGTGTATGTATGGGTGTACCGGTGTGCAGGTGTGTGTACGTGTATATGTACGTGTACGTACGTGTTCTTTATACGTGCGATGTACGTAATCGAATTCATTTAC